TTGTGTGTGTGTGTGTGTGTGTGTCTGTGTGTGTGAGTGTGAGAGAGTTAAAAACACTAGATAAAAAGTCCTATCTTTTCCTCGGGGTGAGTAGGTATGCTCTGGAGTTTCTGGACTTCTTCTGCACCCTCTAGTGTTGGACTCACACATTTGGTCTCATCTGCATTCCCCAAAAGCAGACCGTCCTCATTCTGACAAAATGAAAAGCAAAACATTTTCTAAACAAACACACATTTTTAAGTGATTATAATGTTACGGTTCATCGGCCTGTCAGTCCTCCGCACAATTTGAAATGGATGCACAGCACAGGTGCGATGGCCCGGATCTCCGTTATGCATTTGCAGCGCTCAGACTGGCATCTGGCTGGACAGAACGACGTTTCTGATGGATGTCAGTGAGTTTGGCTGGATTGAGACACTTCGTGTGAGGTAAAGCTGTGAAAGCCAAGCAGTTCTGTGCACTCTTTTCCACATTCAGCGGCTGAGCTATGTCACGTTCTCAGCTTTCTTGGGTGAAGAGCCGTGTGAAGGCTCTCTGGATGAAGCGCTTGCATGCGGGGGCAGAGGAGAACCGAGGTCTGGTGGTGAGGGATGAGCTGGCTCAGATGTATGGAGACGTTTGCAGGTGTGACTCTCGGGCTGCCAGTCCTGAAAGTCCGGCTGCATTTCACTCAGACGGTTCCTGTGAGGACGGCGCTCACAGCACACGGCCGAGAATCACAACTTGGGAGGCAGGTTGGAACGTCACCAATGCCATGCATAAAACTGAATTGCGCTCACTCGTAGTGTCACGTATTTGCACATGCTGTCTGTGTTGTTTTAACACTTGATTCAGAAAATGAATTATGTAAATCAGATAAAAGTGCAAACACTGCCAAAAAAAAGTTAGGATGATCTGTTGTGTTGTGGAGGATGCAGCAGACCAACTTTCTGCATCACAGCACGGCCAGCATCCAATCAGCTCTTCAGAAAATCTACTAAATGGCACCCCACATCTAAATATATAACATTTTATATATATATAATATTTATTTATAACAATTACTGTATATAACATTTTTTTCAATCAGTATTTATGACTTCTTTTACAATAAAATATCTAAACATCTTTAAAACAAGTACTTGTGAAGCAGTTATCTAAGATACATTTTTATACCAAATATGCACATATATTTTCTTGTTTTAAGAATAAACCTCAAAACATTTTGTCATATTATAATTTTTTTTTTTTAAAGTAACACTTTATTTCAATAGTCAGCTTTAGACATTCTACTAATTATAAGTAACTGCAGCTACACTGTTAAAGATTTCAGAATGAAATGACAGTATATTCCAGGTTAATACTACCATTATTTTCACAGTAATTTCACAGAGGGACTTATCTTGTATCTAACGGCACTGTTAGGAATTTCTTGTAAACAAACAGCATCATACTGTGTTTCTACAGTGCATATGTGCTATGAAGGCTCCTAGCATGCAATGCAGCATGAATGTATCATGCTGTAGAGTTGTTGTTGTTGTTTTCATTCTTGTTGGTTTTATGTGTGCCATTGAACCTGTTTATGGTTTACTTTTAGCAGTTTGTGTTGTTTATTTTGTAATGTTGGTTTATGTTTTAAGTGTTGTTTTTATTTGTTGAATGTTACCATTTTTGTGTGTTGTATGTCGAGTATTGAAGTCACATCTTTCAAAGACGCATCTCAACAGTTGCTTCTCTATTGTGAAAGATCCATCCACAAACAGTTATGAATATGATATAGGTTATTGATTAATCTTCATGCTTAAATAATGCTAAAATAAAAGCTTAATTTCATGCTAACTAACTTAAAGTCAGGCGATTAGCTTATTTCATATTCTAGCTTATCATCATTTTGACAAATGTTTTCATTTGTCACACTTCTGACATGACAAGATTCCAAACAAATGTGAAACACTGATCACCATTATGGTGACTTCAAAACAATTACAGCAGTAAACAAACAAATTTCTCACAGTGGCACAGTTAAAGACAAACGCTATAATGTGAATTCACAGTAAAACAAGAGCAGCAAATTACTGTGATGTTAGCTTCATTCTGCTGTTCATTCACTGTCATTTCTAAGAAAATGACCCAGCATGCATCGATTTCACAGGAAATTTCTGACTACAGTCATTTATTGTAAAATAATAATCTTTAATCCTGTAAATTCCTGGCAGTATTTTACGGTGTACAAATAGCAGTCATTAGAGTATCAGTAGACTGCCTGCCTAATATCTGCTAACACTTTATTTTGATAGTCCATCAACACACTTTCTACTGACTATAGGTAACTTTGCAAGTACGTCAACTTATTCTACTAACTCTAACCCTAATCTAACAGTTTCCTAATTCTCTAATAAGAATTAGTTGACATGTAGTTTTAAAGTTACTTATAGTTACTTTCAATGTCTAAGGTGGACAGTCAAAATAAAGTGTAACCAATATATCTAGAACTAGATTAGTATACGGTGCTTAGTGATGCATGTTTTAGCTCTGAATTACTGCACTCAGTAGTGTAAAGTTAATTCACCCCGGGGTGTTTGGGAAGTGCTGCCTGTTATGTTCTTAAATTAAAACATTAAGTAAAAGATCATCAGCCAATTTCCTATCCTCAGATTCTGCATGCTTAGAATGATTGCACAAGTGTTTGTGTGTTTTTCAATATGCCTTCTTTACTTTATGGCAGCATACATCCTTGTTTATGTGAATGATACCCCATTACCTCATCTGTTCGCTCCCATTTGAGTCTGAGGGTAATATTTAGAACTGTTAATGATCACACAGCTCATTATTGCTGCTTGAGCTTGTTTAATGCATGCTTCTGCTTTACTTTATAGCGTAACGTGCCTCTCTTTCCCTCTTCACCCATCTGTCTCTCACGCTCCTGTCTTACTCTCTGTGAATCTGTCTTTCTTCTGTAGTGAGGTGTCTTGCTCTCTGCTGTCTGTATAGGCAGCATTCCAGTGAACCTCATAAACAGCTGATTTGCAGCTCTGTCTCAGGATAGCTGAGTGTCACATGACATTTAGGGTTCAGGTGATTGGATTAAAAAAAATCCAGAATTGAGTGCATATAAGCAAAAATGGCAGCATGCGGGTCACAAACTTTTGTCAGTTTGAATGAGTAATACTTCAAGTAAAATCTAAGAACAAACTGGTGTTTGAACAAATTTTGAACAAAATCAGGGCAAAACCAAGGTTTGGAGTTCGAAACAGCTTGTTTCTGGAAAAATTTGCTCCGGCTGTTAAACACCTCTGAACCATCATTGGTCAGTGGTGATGATGCAATGGGAGGGTGGGGCTCTAGGGCTCCGCCTTTTTTGAGTGGAAATCTCTGGTCTATTTCTTCTTTTCGGTCTGTCGAGGTCAGATGCAGTAAAAACATGAAAACACTGCAGAGCTGCTTTATGGTAGAACTTTGAGTTGTAATTGACATTAACATGTTGCTAAGCTAACAACATGTTTCCATAATGAGCAATACAATTACATAACACTCAAATATTGGGTGAAATTGTTCATTTTTAGTTGATTTCACTTGATAATTATTGAATTAAATACATTTTTATTTTGACCATGTTTCTTTTGACCCCATCTGCCATCTTTTCACAGAGCTTGTCACAATGCATTCTGGGATTGCCTTAAGTGTGAAAGACACAAGCAATGTTGCCTTCGAGTTTGGCCAACACAGCTACCATTTGGTACAGCCGTCATGTCAGAAGAGCATCTATGAAGCCTAAAAATGCGTCTCTGCAC